CCCCAAAACCCCAAAACCCCAAAACCCCAAAACCCCAAAACCCCAAAACCCCAAAACCCCAACAACAGCGGTTTAAATAGAATGTACTCTTTATCTAGTTTTTAAATTTGAAACTTTCTTCGGAGAATCAAGGTCCTCTGATTCATCTAAACCATTGTTGTAGACATTATCTCTGTCTTCAGATGGGGTAGGAACGAATCTGAAGGCTGGTGTTGCCATTTCAGCTTCTTCATCGCTTACATTTTCAGTTTCTAAGAAATCCATAAGGTTGTTTTGGTAACTGGTGATCTGGTTGTGGACAAACTCAACTTCTTGGTACTCATCCTCAGGACTAACAGGCATAGCTTTGTACATCGCCTTAGAATCTTTGGCATGTATGATACTTGGCTCTTCAGACTCTTCGGGTTCACCATAAGTCGGGCCTACAAACTCGAAGTCCATGGAATCTTTGCTCTTGTTCTTAATTGCTTGTCTCTTCTTTTTGAGGTCTTCTTTCATCTTATTTTCTATTCTCTTCTCTTATGCGGGCTCTGTCTGAACGATCTTTCTCTTTTTGTTGTTTCTCCTCTTCTTTTTGTTGTTCAATTACTTTAAGGCGCTCTTGTTCTTTTTCTCTTTTCCTTCGGACTTCAGCATAGATACTTTCTCGTTTCTTTTTAGCAAGTTCTTCACGGATTTCCCACTGGCTGGTGACTTTGGCTGTCTTAGACTTCGGCTTTGGCTTCAACTTGGCCTCTTCCCATGGCTTTTTGACTACTTTAGGCTTTGATTGAGCCTTTTTGACAGGTTTCATGAACCCAGTTGTTGCAAGGATGTTTTTGTCCTTTAAGTCACCGATGACATCCGAGATTGCTCCCAGGACATCCTCCTCCTTGTTCGGTTCTGCTTTAGGTTCGGCTCTTGAATTTTCTGTAGAGGGTTAATTTTGTAACAAAATTGCTTACTTTTCTTCAGACCCTTGGGCTTCATTTCTATTTGCGCTTTGACCTCGAATCCCGATTTTTTAGCTGGCTTATTAGACGGACTTTCCTCATTAGGCTCCTCATCAGTTTGATGGACTTGCTGGACTGTATAAAATTGTTAGACCAAAGACGAGAGATTTAGCTTGAAATATTTCATATTTGTAAAAGTCTCAAACTTACAGATATTCATGTTGTGTAGCACGGTGTGACTAAATTCTTGGATGTATTTCTCTTCGTCAAGGAGCTCTCTCGCTCTGTTAGAGATGATGTCCATTTTTAGAATCTTATTTACTGAGGGCCTCTTCTCTGAATCTGGGTTTAGTATTGCTTTCACTAAGGTGCCAATTTTGGTAGAATATCGCTTTGGAATAGCTTTATAGTTTCCTTTAACGATTCTCATAGCTAGCATGGTCAGAGAGGTTCCATTGAATGGGGGCTCGAGACACAGCATCTCATACAAGAGTACTCCAAGTGACCAAATATCTGATTTATAGTTATAAGGCTTATTCTCTACAATCTCTGGGGAAAGATAGTATGGCGTTCCCACGATAGTTTGAAGATTCTCTTTGGTATGAGAGAGCACTTTAGCAATTCCAAAATCACCCAGCTTGACTATTCCATCCTTTGTGAGGAAGATATTTTGGCTCTTAAGATCTCTGTGTAGGATCTTCCTATCATGAAGATGCTTTATGGCTAGACATATTTGGGTAAAATAATCAATGATCATGCTCTCATTTAGATACTTATTTATTCGCGGCTGCTTCTTTTACTATCTTGCTGAGGTCCCCTCCATCTGCGTATTCCATAACGATACAGAGCTTATTTTGACTTAGTCTTGTAGACTTCTTTGAACCCGATAATGTTTTGATGGCAGAGAGGCTCCATAATTTTAGCTTCGAAGAGGGCTTCTGCTTCCTCTTCCTTGGACATATCATTGAGATCGATCTGTTTGATGACAGCGAGGGACTCATCGCTTTGACATTCGACTAGGATTGCTCTTCCGAAGGACCCCTTTCCTAGGATTTCCTTCTTGATATAAACTTCATGCTTTTTACCAGGCATCTTAATTATTATTCATCTGGGCTACTTACTTTGGGGTTTTGGGGTTTTGGGGTTTTGGGGTTTTGGGGTTTTGGGGTTTTGGGG